ACACACACACACACACACACACACACACACACACACACACACACACACACACACACACACACACACACATATAAGTTGATAAAAGCAAAGTCACTGTTCTTTAAAAGTATTGGATGTTGAAAGCTACACATTCTGAGATGCCAAATTTAAATAGGGTGTTTCTTTTGAATGTGCTGTGGTAAGAAATAATTTTGTTCCCTTGGACTTCTCTTCAATGTGAGATTATACAAACTGCAACGCGCGACTAATTTGCTAATCATAAATATTCAAGAGTCAATTAGCGTCTTTGCAAAGGATCGCGTACTCACGCTGGATCTATTAATTATCGATTTCCATTACGCTTGCGTAATGACCTATTAACGATGTGCACTTGAGAACGTCTCGCTCAAACTTTTGGCTCGAGTTTCGCGATTCGAGTCTACCGCTCACGCGTACAATTTATGGAATAAATTTCTCATAAATACCTCTCATATCATATCATTCCAACTGTGTTGGAACTATACGTAAATGCAAAGTTGTTTTTATTTGGAATTATGCCAATTATTCATCACAGAACGAAAGTTCTACATGTCTATATGTGAAAATGTATGTGATATAATTATACATAAACGTATCGTAGCACGTATTTTATTATGAAATAAGTAACAAAATATCATTCAACAGTTGCTACAGTAATAGTCTGATTTATGATACATTGATAACAAAATGTGTGTGCAATTAAAATTCGAATGCGTAAATTACCAATATCCATAACTATGTCACTGTATACAATTTTAACATAACATTAATATTTTGATAGTTGTTTGAATGTGAGATGTAGTTATTGTGGAAAAATCCACAATCAGAATTTTCGCAAATGTTCTTAAAATGCGATCTGTGGTCGTCAATAATAATAATAATAAGTAAATTTAGTAAATTTTTAACTTACTATGAATTAATAAAATAAACTTTGTGTATACATTATTGTAAAAAATTGATCTTTACAAGATCAATTTTTGCGCTGTGCGTTCACACTGTGTAAAAGTGGAACAACTTTTTTATCGTATCCTATTTTACGCACGTGCGTCACGTAATAAGAATAATTTCCGCGTGAATTGCGAACCATATAATTTTTGCGCGAATATGCGTGAGGAATCGATCGTTTTCCGAAGCAAACTCCGTCGCAACACCTTGCAATTGAGCGTGATTACTGTGGACATTGCGGTGCGCACGGATGGACCGTAATCATCCTCGCAAAA